ATGTTTACCATAAACAGTGCTCCATGTTCATAAATCCTAAACTGGTATTTTCCTCCTATAAACTAGAGGCACAAATGTAGAATTGCTATAGCAATGAGCAGATAATTAAAAGCAAACAAACAAAACCAGCCAGATTACTCTCATGAAAGGGTCCAGAGACTCCCACTTCCAGAGGGTGTGACAGTGTATCTTTCCCTATTGATACAGTATGAAGCACCCTCAGATGGTAAGCAGTTCAGTATTAGAGCCCCCAGCTGCAGACAAAGGCAGGCTTTGATGATGGGGGGGGGGGCTGGTGAAGAAGAAGACATGCACAAGAAGACTGACTCTGAGAACAGGAGCCAGGAGACAGAACCAGCAAGGGCTCTGGGGAGAAGGGTGCAGAAGTAGCCATATCAGGATGGCCTTGCTCTCCCACAGAAAAAGGACAGTCAATGGACACATAGAAAGGGGCCTAGCAGTGTCAGAGAAAACCACGACAGAGTGCCAGGTCACACCCACGAGGCTGGGCCAAACCAAACAGGCAGACAGCCACCTGGAGAACCGCACCTCCACACAGTGCCCGTGGGAACGTGAAGGGCACAGTGGTTCTGGTCCTCAGAAAGTCAAACACAGAGGCACCTCGGGCGCCAGCATTTCCACTCTGAGGCGCAGCCCAGAGAAGGAAGACACATGCTCGTGGAAAACGGTGCCCGAAGGTTCAGCGTAGAATTATTCACGGCAGCTCATGGAAGCCACCCCCATCTCCATCCCCTTATGAATGAGTAAGCAAAACGAGGCCCGCTGAACAGAGGAGTATTTACCCATCAAGGGCGTGAAGCACTGGCACAGGCTGCCACGTGGATGAATCTCCCAAGCGCTGCCCTCGGTATGAGAAGCCAGACAGGCTGAGTAAGCAAGGGCAGGTGGCGGGAGGCTGGGGGCGTCGGAGCTGGAGTCCGAGGTGCAGAGTGTACACCGTGCCTAGGCCCCACTGCATCTCATGGCATGAAGCAATGTCCCAATAATGAAAAGAAAAGAAGTAACAGGAAAGATTTCCAGAAAAGACAGAGGGGATCCAAAGCAGAGGGAAGGATCAGTTGACTGTCTCCTGTTTTTCGAGGTGGGCTTGCAGCAGTGGCCGCTCTTAGTAATCTCTCCTCCGGGGTCTCCAGGCCATGTGGGCCTTGCATCCTAGACTGAGAGCAATAGCTATGGGGACATCTCCAAATTCTGGTGTCTAACCTCTTGCTTGGAAAATTCAGAAATTTGAACGGTTTAAGTTGCTTGGAGCAATGCACACCCGCCCCCCCCCCAGGCCATTTTAAAAGGGCTGACACATGAGCCCTGCAGGTAGCTTATTGGTATAGGGTGAGACCACAGTGCTATGAGGTGAATGGCCCCTGGCAGTGTCCACCACCGTCCCTCTCCGTGGAAACATTGATGGGGAGCACACACAATGGGCAGGATGCCCAGTGAGCTCAGCAACCAAGCCAGCCCACTTGGAGTTGGCTCTGGGACTTCAGGGCTTAGTTCCTTCCAGATGGGAATGATATTTTTTTAAAGCTGTCTTTGTTGACAGGTATAAAGTAGGGGGAGGATCAAGACAACACAAGAGGTGGCCAACTATGAGATCTGCTTACGTCCCAGCACCGTGTGTGGCCTGCACAGTGTGGAGGTTTCTCAGAATTGGGGAATTTCAAGTCAACTCTTAAAATCAGGCTGTCACTGAAAAGCCTCATTATCTGTGAAGGGATCCCCACAGAGAGCTACCCCTGAAGCTGAGTGGAGACAGGGAACATCTCTGGTTTCCTGCAACCTCCACGATGTGCAGAGGTAAGCCTTCCTTGCTGCTCTTCACTACCCGTGAGAGCAACGGAATCTCCTGGGGATTCCAGGAAATAGAGCCATCGAAGCCCTGGTATATCTGATACCCTTTGCTAAGTTCTGTGTCCACTACAACAAAAGGTTGCAAGCACTGCTTTTATTTGAGTTGTGGAAACAGTTTTTTTTTTTTTTTTTTTTTTGTGTGTGTGTGTGTGTGTTTTAAAGAGCAGCCAGGCATGGTGGCACACGTCTGTAATCCCAGTTACTAGGGAGGCTGCGGCAGGAGGATACCTAGTCCAAGGTGAGCATCTTCAGCATAGAGAGGCTCCATCTCAACAACAGCAAGGACAGGAGACCAATTAGGGGAAATAACAGATACGAGAGAGCACATATATCTGTACCCATCCAGGCCAGGGACCCTGCCCCCTAGTTTTCTCTATCTAGGTAGCTATGATTTATGACGTTTGGTCTCCCAAGACACTTTGCTCAAATGGTAATTTCGTCTATTCTCCCTCCCTGCTTATTATATCATAAGCAGGAGCACTTTGCTCAAGTAAGAATTTTCAATTAAAAAAATCTCCATATATGTACGTATATATATATTTATGTATATATATGTAATCTTTAAAAGCAAATTTAGGGGGTTCTTTTCAGAAACAATTGTCTGCGAATAAAAGGGAAGATTTTAATTTAGAGGCTCCTTATCCAAGTGAAACAGAGACATTCTTCTGCTTCTGAAAAACGATGTGTCCTGGCAGATAAATGGCACGTTCGTCCCTGCCATCCATTAGCAATGAGGACCGGGCATTTTTTTCTTTTTTAAGAGGGGACTAATGTGATGGGCTTGCTTGAAAAGAACCAGAGAAAGAGAAAACGGAGGTATTTTCATTTCCGTAAAGATCTGTGAAGTTTTAGGCATCAATGCTCCGGTGGGGAATCTGGCTGGTGATAARCTGGGACGTCGGAGCCGAGGGCGGGTGTGACAGCAGACTGCTTGCAGTGGCCCTGACTCCATTATGTCGTCACCATGGCCCTGTGCAGCTGCTGTCCTCAGAGCTCCCTTATGAGGTCAACGTCATGATTCCCATTTCCAGCTGGCTCTCGATGGTATGAACACCTTGCCCGGGTTACATAGGTAGTGGGTGGCAGAGCCAGGACCTGTGCCCGGGTCTGGGAGACTCCAGGGCTTCCGTGTGCTGCTGTATCAAACCACCACAGATGTTGTGCCTTACAGATAAGTTACCCCACACTTCTGAAGGTCATGAGTAAGAGATGCGTCAGCTTCTAGAAACTCAAGGCAAAAGCCTGCCTCCTGTCTTTCTCAGCCTCCGAGGCCACCTGCGTTCCCTGGCCTGGCGTCCCCTCCTCCACCTTCAAGGCCAGCACTGCAGCATCTTGAAGTCCCTGTGTGACATCTGCTCCTTTACTACACCTTCTCCTACTACGTCCCTCCTGCTTCACTCCTTGTAAGACCCCAGTGAGGACATTGGGCCCCACCAGGTAATCCAGGTTCATTCCCATCTCAAGATCCTTAATCCCTTCTGCAAAGTCCGATTTTACTATGTAGGGTGACACAGTCACAGGTTCTGCAGCTCAGATGTGGTCATCTGGGAGGAGGAGCGGCATTGCTGTAGGTCCCTCCCTTATCTATCACATTCTGAGGCCTCATAAATGAGAAATTATACAAATAAACTGTGTTCCCTAGTGCACGTACTCAGCCGGGGGCTGGTGATCCCAAGGGGGCCAAAACTGGTTCTGCAGGGAGGATGGAGGGTTGTATTCTTCCTGTGTGCAGAGCGCAGGGGCCGGGAGCGCAGGTACAGGGCACATGTGCGCCCCTCAGTGTGGCCCGCCGGGTTCTCTGGGCTCTCAAGGCTGCAGGCCTCCTGTGAAGGTCACAGTCCTTCCCATCGGGTCCCCTCTGCCCTGCTGCCCACGCCTCAGGTCCTCCTGAGGGAGAAGGTGACTCCAGTTCTCTCAATTGGCCATTTTTTTTTTTTTTTTTGTTACTGAAAACGTTGGCTTGATCTGCTCACTCAGAGTTGGATTTGATGCTAATCCTTGCCATTCTGCTCTTTAGGGAGGGGTGCATGGCAACTTTTGTAAAAACATAAGTTGGAAAACAATTATCTTCCGGAAGGTTAAAGCCGTTTTGGGGCATTTCCTCCCTGGAATATCCAGGCTTAGCCTTTATCTCTTCCTTTTAGCTTTAGGTAAATAGCTGTCATCTCAGACGGGGCCAGAAAATGATTGCTGAATGTCACCAGGGGCTGTGGCATCTCCCGGCTCATGGCTTTCTAAATGGAACACTGTGTTCTCTTTGTAGGATGATTAATCGGGTCTGGCCTGGAGGAGGGGGAAGGGATGGCATATTTCGTGGCTTCTAACTCTGGGATTTCTGGGCCGTCAGAGGTTTTGCTTTTCCTTCGGAGTTCCCAGAGTCTGCATGTGAGCACACACAGGGAGCCTGGCAGTCAGGGCAGCGGGGGAGGCGGGTCCCTTCCAAGATGGTGTGAGGGACCGAGATGCAATAGCGTCTCGTGTCATATGTGTGAAATGACAGGTTCCATGTCACTACATTTGGAGTGGGGATCCTGACCGAGGGCTTCTGATCCAAAGTCAAACCCCTCTGCTGCCTGATCTACTGTAATCCTGGTCTCTCCCGGCTTTCAGTCACATCTCAGAAGAGATGAGGATGGTTCTCGGTTGAATTGTACCCCCCACCCCCAAAGATATGGCAGTCCTAAGCCTGTGAAAGTGACCTTATTCGGAAACCGCATCTTTGCAGATGGTCAAGTTAAGATCAGGCCATGAAGGTGGGTCCTAGTCTAATGACTCTTATTAAAAAGACACAGAGACAGAAGTGTTCAAAGGGAGGGAGGATGCGGTGAAGGTGCAGGGAGAAGATGTATCCACCAGCCCAGGGGACAGGACTGGGACAGTCCCCCCACCCCGCCCTTGGAAGGAGCCCATCCTGCCAGTGCCTCAGTTCCAACTTCTGGCCTGTGCACGGTGAGACAATACTTTTCTGGTGTTTAAGCCGCACAGTGTGTGGTAATTTGTTATAGCAGCTCTAGGAAACGAATTTGGGTGAACTTTCCAAGGAGGCCTATGGCTTCCCTCTTCCGCTTTGTTTGCTATGAACAGGAATGAGATGGACCAGAGAGCAGCAGCCCGCCCAGCATGGTACTGACCTTCATCGTAGAGCTGAACAGTGTGGGTGGATATGATCACTGGGATCCCATTCTGATCACACGTGCTGTCGGATGCCTGAAACACAACAGGTGTCTGTTACTGGGCAGGTCTTCAGGGAAAATTGGAAGAACTCCGGGAATAGCCTGAAGATTACTTCCCAGAATTAAACTTCATTTACAGGCTGTTTCTAGTCACTCCTGAGCTTTCTATCATGCCTCAGAGTAATGAAATAACCTCTCCAGGGCCTGGATTCCCCCATCACATGCACTCTCTGGTTTATGCCTGTCTTAGTGAGTGTCACAGTCAGGCAGGCACCTGCCCTGGGGCACCGAGGCTCATGGGCACTTACCTAACCAGGATGGAGCAAGAATTTAACATACTGATTCCCAAACCTGGGGGTTAGCTCACTCCACCACCTGACACACACCAACACAACCATCAGCCAGGATGCTGGTCAACAAGCCTGTCAGATACAGGAGGTGCAGTGTTGTGTGTGTGTGTGTGTGTTGTGTGTGTGTGTGTGTATGTGTTTTATGTGCTCTTCTCCATACTCCCTCTCTTTATCTTCATTGTTGTAAACACTTTATAATTTCAGGGCACTGCCCTGATTATTTTCCTCTTCTGTTACTTAGTATAGATACTTTCAAAGATTATCAAGACACATATACACACAAACGTTCATACTCACATGGGAAGAAAAACAGTTGCACAAGAGTATGTCATATAATGCCATTTTGTGACCCAATAATCTAATTATACTCTCCTAATCATTAATATCAATCAAATCTTAATTATGTTAAGTATTTAACATACTGTCTTGTTTTGATACTACTATTAATAGTAAGAACATGTACTAATAAATGCAGAAGGTAAAAAACTAAAGGCCAGCTCCTAAAGGTGGGACTCTCCTCCTAAGGAGGGAGGAGAGAGAAGGCTTCCCTTTGTGTTTTGTAATGGTCATAATTGTTGAAAATAAGTCTGTGTTCTCAAATCTATCAACACCATACCAAGAAAACATCAGATCACGATCACATGGCTCAGACAATGCTACCAGCTCTTCTGGGGGTCAATATTTATATAAATTTGATGTATTGAGTAAATAGACTATCTTAAGTATTTCAGAATCAATCGCCTTTTTAAAAAAAATTGGGGGTTGGAGATGTGACTCAAGCGGTAGCGCGCTCGCCTGGCATGCGTGRGGCACTAGGTCCCATCCTCAGCACCACATAAAAATAAAATAAAGATGTTGTGTCCACCGAAAACTGAAAAATAAATGTTAAAAAATTCTCTCTCTCTCTCTCTCTCTCTCTCTTCTCTTATAAAAATATCGGCAGATTTCATGAACACTGTTCACTAATTCCTAATGAACAACAAGAATCTGAGAATGCCAGCCCTCCTGGTGAGTGCGTTGGCGGGGGCTATGGCCCTCCTGGTGGTGCGAGTTGGCTGGGCCCACCGATGGGCTGCTGGCCTCCAGTTCTCTGCCYGCATTGCCTGGCTCCTGGAGGCCAGAGGTAAGCAGGCTTATCTGGACTTGGAACCATCTGGGGAGCTTGGGAAACCTGCAGTGCCCACCCCACGACCAGAGATTATGATTTTAGGAGGTCTCAGGTGGGGCCTGGCATCGGGAGTTCCAGAGCATCCCAGGTCATGCTGATATACACACAGGGTGAGGCCCACGCTGAAGCATTCTCCTTCCCAGGCTTTCTTCAAACCCAGTCTTCTGTTCTGAGTAGGAAGCCCCTCTCCTCTGTGATCAACTTGCACGCACAGGTGTTTTTCCTGTCGGGATTTCCTCRTTTAGCAAGGCTCCCAGTGTTAGGCTGAATTGATATAAAAATACTGATGGTAGAAATTTAGTCCGTTTGCTTCTGGAAGTAGAAGGTCCAAGGAGAAGCAATGAGTGTCCTTGGCCTTTGCTCTTGAGAGCAGCATGGGAGAGGGACCCCTTGTTAGCATGACTGTACACTCCAACAGCAGGGAGCTTTGAAAACCCCCAGCCTGCCCAGCTCCCCCACAGTTTCTGGCTGAACTGGTGTAGAGGGCAACGCAGGCATCAGGCATCGCAAGACAGTGGTGAGATCTGGAACCACAGATGCAAACCTGGGTTCTCACCCTGAGCCCTGTGCACATATTGGGGCAGGTAATGGTTTGCTATGGAGCGGGACCACCTGTGTATTAGAGCATGTGTAGCAGCCGCCCTGGTCTCTGTGCCTTAGACACCAGAAACACCCCTCCTGGGATGTGACTATCAAAAATATCCCCAGACATTGATAGGTGTCCCTTCAAGGATCGGCTGACAAGATGCTACAGTTGAGAGCCCATCTGGGAGTAGGTGACGAACTGGCTTCCTAGGGACCAACCACCTGTGTTCCAGAAGTGCCCATCTCTGCAATTTCTGATTGAGTCTGAAGCAGAGCCCCAGAACCTGCATTTTTAACCAGCTCCTTGATGGACCCCAGAGGTCTGAGAAGCCAAACAGCAACGAGGACAGGAGTCCTTCTTTAGCATGGCTGTGACGGGCACTGGGCAGCCACGGCTGCTTCTGTCTGTGACCACTACCAGTAGCCAGTTCCCCGTGTCCGCACTGGCCCTACCTTATAAGCCTCCGTTTCTGGTTCTTTCTCTTGGTCTTCAACTCTTTGTGGAACGCTCATTTGGTTGCCCATTGTTCCTGCATTAGACCAAGAAAGAGACCGGGGGAGAGAAAGGAATTAAACCCAAGCCAAACCAAAGTCTTCAACTGACACTTGCAGCCAAGGAGCAGAGCCCTGATGGTGGCTCACGGATGTTGTCCCAGGCAACAGGTGCTTATATTCACTTTGGGGGATGAGGGGGAGATTTTGGATCCTCACACCCAACAGTCAAATGCAGTTTCAGTAGCATTTCATTGCTGGGGAAAAATATTTATCAACGTGAAGAGGTATTGAGGGCAAAAGATGTTTTCTTCAAACACTTTTAGTGGGATTCCCAGCTACTCTATCAAGGGGACTTTGGAATAAGAGTAATAGGAATAATACTTAGGATTTCACTTTCTTCTGATCCTCACTAAATTAATCCCATTAAAGCCTCTCACTGGGCTGGCATCTCCTTTTCATGTTACATGACAGAGGACAGGGCGGCAGCGTGGGTAGGAGGGTTCTGGATGATCACTGACGTGGTCACTGTCCCAGACTTGGAGTGCCCCCAGGCCAGGGCCGAGTCTGCCTTCTCCAGCATTTTACCTCCTATTTCTAGAAGTGTGTCTGCATYTATGAGGAGCTTAGGGGTTATGTGTGAGTTGACTGGAGGGAAGAACCATTGGTAACTGTCTCCTGTGTCAGACCCTGACTCAGGTAAGGCCACGCCATCTCTGACCCTCTCAGAACCTTGGTGTGTCGTAGTGATGATGTGACCCATTGGCCCGATAGGGACTCCAACCATGGTTTCCAGGCACTTGGCCCACAAGGGCTCATTCCTCCCTGCAGTGCCCCWGAGCTCTGGCAGGCAGACGGACAAGCACATAGAAAATGAGGYCAATAAATACCTGCAAAACAGGTATTACCGCCATCTCATTCTTGACATGAGGAAGTTGAAGCCCAAGGAGGTTAAAATGCTTCCCACAGTTAATGGGGTAGAGGCAAGAGATGGGCACTGTCTGCTCCAGAATGTTCTGCATATTATTACCTCCCCTTGGAAAGAAGGGAATCGAGGCTCCAAAGCTCACTAAGGACACAGCCACAGCATGGCACGGGTGGTCGGGGGGCTGGATGCCGAGTATGTCTGATCCTAGAACTAGGGCCCTTTCCCCCACTCCAAAGACCTGCCGTCTCACTACCCCACATTCTCTTTCCAGTTAGCCCCTCTCCAAAGTTGGGCCACTGGTTCATGTGCTCCAGTGGCTTTCAGAATAAAAACGARGAATTTTGGTTTCTGGCTGACAGCAGTCAATGTGTCTACAAGGACTCCTGTGGGCTTCTCGCCCTGGATGTGAGTTTTTAATTCCMGGTAAAAGATACGTAGAGAAATCAGGAATTAGGGAGGCTAAGAAAGGGCCATGGCTCCCACCACCTGCTCCTTCAGGGGAATTTGGTACATAATCACATCCGGGGACTTTGTGTGTCTTCTAATCACACGGTGTCACAAAGCTGAGCACTATTGAAACCCACAGCACACTTGTTATTCTGCAACATTTCCCATTTGTAAATTTCATGATGTGCATGCTTACAATGGGCCATCRCTTCCATCTATAAATGGGACATTGGGAATATAATGCAAGACCCTCAAGTCCAGTCAGTAAACAACAGCTGTGGCCAAATTCACCTCACGGCCTGTTCCAGTACCACCCGTGAGCTAAGGATGGGCTTCATATTTATAAACAGTTGAAAGAGTTCAGATAAAGAATCATGAGGTGCCATACATGAGCATCATATGAAGGTCAAATTTCAGCATCCCTGGTTGGAGTTTCATTGGAAGAGAGCCCTGCCCATTTACTGATGCATTGTCTAGAATGCTTTTATGCTACAATGTCCRAGTCGAGTTGTGACAGAAAACATGGTCTCTACGGCTTAAGATAGTTATTATTGGGCACTCTCCAAAAAGGTCACTGACCCCGCTCAGGATCGACCTTGGGGAATGAGGCATCTGAGAGATTAAGCACTGCCCCTGGTAAGACTGGCCAGGATTGCAACGTACCGTACACAAAATAATGACACAAAAACTCTAGCAAGCACAGTCATGATAAAGCAATAATAGTAACATCATTTGGTTAGAGCGCTCCATGTGTCAAGACGAGGTTCTAAGAGCTTCACTTGTTGTGAAGCTAATTTACTCCTTGTAACACATCAGCAAGGCAGTGGAATTATCATTCTAGATTTTCAGASGAGGAAAATGAGGCATATAGGTTAAATGTTTTGGCCAAGGTCATACATAAACAAGTGMATATGTATATACACATGCAAGAATATATTTACTCACCCAATTTCTCCATCTACATTTAGCTTTTAACAGGTTTAACATTATTTAATGATGGGCCTACAAACATTATAAGTATTCATTTGAATTTGGTCCTTTTTGGGAGCTACTTTCAATAAGTGCTTAAGGTTCTGATGTATCTGGGGCTGGGARGTGGGGCATATCTGCAGGCAGAAGAGAACTTCTCCCCCCCACGGAGCTGGGGTTACATGATCCTGATCACTGTGCATTTKAAGTGGCCTCTTGGCAGCTTCAGGGCCAAGGGAACTGAAAGGAGAATCCAGCCACACATCTTCTGCAGGGATCACCTGGAATCAGGTAACACCCCTTCTCACCAGCTGTTAGAACTTGTGAAACTGCTCCTGTCTGACCTTCAGTTTGTAAAGAGCAGGATTTATATGGGACAAAAGCAAAAGGCTGCTGCTGCCACCTACTGGCGGATACATGAATTTACCCCACCTGCAGGCTAGGTCAGAGCGAGTGGGTGGGGAAGGTTTGATGATTGGCAGTCACTCCTCTGCTAACCCTTGGCAAGGACTGCAAGTCCTCCGATGCCCAAAAGTACTTTAAMTAATAAAACAGTAATGATCACCACAGCTGAGGGGCATGAGGAGCCCCACCACRGGCCAGCCCTGTGTCCACCGCCCTGGATATACCACAGCATGATTCAAAGACAGGGATCTGGGCTCTGGCATTTGGGACCCCTGCTGACCACATGCTGAAGGAGTGATGTGGGTGAGTTTCTGAGCCTCCCTGGGCCTCACTTTCCTCCTCTGTAAAATGGGATAGTAATAGGCCTCATCTCAAGGGGTTGTTATAATAATTAAGCCAGTTAATATACACAAGCTGCCCAAAACAGGGCCTGTAAGTGCTGGCCATGAATAGCATTATCGTTGTTATTATCACTGCTGTTCATGGCCAGTTTGCCCCGAAGTTCCCTGATAGAACCCACTGAGGAATCTGGCAGCATCTCTGATTCCCAAGACCCTCTCACCCAAGTCATTTTGGGGTCCTGGAAGCTGTACTTGTAGCAATTGCTGCAGTGGTTCTTGTTATCAGTTACCTATAGAAAATACTAGAATGGTGACTGTATTCGAGGTTGTCCCAGGAAGGAGGACCTTCTGGGATTGMAGGACTTTCATGTTAGAGCCACAAAGTCCTGGGAAACCAGAATAACTTGGGGACCACATGAGCTGCTCAGGACTCTGAGGCAGGGACCCTCTATGCCTGTAACTAGACACGAGGCAGCTCAGACAGTGATCCTATCTGTGATGAAGTTCTCTCCAGTCGTCCCCAACATGAGAAAAATCACCAGATAGGGAGTTTTTCCGGATAAACTTATTCAATCAGAAGAGCTGGCTTTGTTTAGAAGAAAGAGAGTGGGGCGGGGGGAGAGTAAATTAAGAATGTAGGTGTGGTGTTTAAACACCCTTTCTTCACGAAGCATTGATACTCGTTGTTTTGCTTTTACAGCCTGATTCGACATTAAGCCCTGTAAGCTACCTGAGGGCAGGGTTTTGGTTTTGAAACTGGATCCATGTTTGAGGCCCCACCACTTTGCAAATGTGGGTTGAGGCTACTGTTGGGGTTCAGGGGAAAATGCTTCTTTGCTTCCCCCTCCTGCCTCAGGTCTTGGAACCGGTCCTCAGACTGGGAAGTGCATAGAATCCCCTGCAGGTGGCATTTTGAGGCCTCTGTGCCCAGGCCTCAGCCAGGCTGAGTGCAGGGATTCTTAGCTGGGGTTCCACACCATGAGCTTCAAGCTTTCCAGTTGGGTGTCTGGGGTTGACCACCGCTGCTGTGGACATGTTGAGGGTAAGCAGGCAAGGATCCTCCTGGGCTAGAGCTCTTTCCTGAATGCTGCCTGCCCTGACACAGAGAGCCAGGCTCAGGGATCCTCAAGTGGAATAATGACCTTGGCTTTCAAGGGCAATAAATTGTGGCTGGCCTGGGCTTCTTCAAACATTCACTACCTTCTAGTGTACTGTGTTGCTAGCTACTGTCTTGTCAGCCTATAAACCCAGAGAAACATCCTGCCTCTGCTTTCCTCCACCCAGGGTGTGTGTGTGTGTGTGTGTGTGTGTGTGTGTGTGTGTGTGTGTGGTTATGCCTGCTGCTAAGCCTCTTCCCTTCCAGCTGGAGGTGCAGAAGTGAGGACAGGCCCTGTGAAAGGAAGTGAGGCTGCCTGAGTCCAGCAACTGTGCTCTGCTTCTTCACCAGGAGAGAATGAATGCAGTGAGACAGGCCTCTCTAATGTCCCCAGATCATGAGTCTAGCAGGGCACCTGATCCTTCTGACCACATCTTCCTTGTGGAAAATGGCAGTGACAGTAGTAGCACCTGTGGACTTTTCTGTGTGCATGCAGTTCTGATTGCCAGGTTTGGCTTCTCTTGGTCCTCCAGGTAACCCTCTGGGTTACTTTATTTTACCAATTTTCTGATGAGAAACTGAGGCAGGAAAGGTTTCAGAACTTACTGTACTGCCCTYAGACATCATGGTATTTTAGGGAGGGTTAGATGAGACAGGCATGTGCCTAACCCCCATGCATTTGGAGGTAGAGCCTATAACCAATCAATCAAGGTTAAATGAAGTTATAAGGGTGGGGCCCCCCTCCAACAGGATTAGAGTCCCTAGGAGTTGAGACACCAAAAAACTCTCTTTCACTTACTCTTCGACATGGGAATGCGTAGCTAGAAGATAGCTATCTCGAGTCAGG